ACATCTGTCCTCTTTAATGTTCCCTTCTTGTCCCTGAAGGCTGTTTGGATGCTATTCACCATTATGGCTTGGCAGGAAGATGAGGCTGTGGGTTTGACTGGAGTAGGGTGGAGGGGTGAGAAGGTTCAAAGGTCACTATGGTCCCCAGTATGTCTTGATGTCCCCCTCCTTATACTACAGTCCACATCTGAGAAGCAGTGAGAAGATCAGCCTGGTAGTCTGGGTTCTCTTGGGTTGAGAAGCTGCTGCCTAGGCCTGTGTGAAGCCAGGCCTAAAAACAGGTGACTGGGGGCTGGGCTGGGCTCTGGGAGCTAAGGAGGGCTTATCTTCTCTGGGACCTCAGGAGTGGGCCCTGGGGGACTGGAGAGAGTCTAAAGAGGGGTGGAGATGGCTCCCTTATGTGTCATGGGAACTGTGGAAGGGGATGAAGATACAAAGACAACCCTTGCTGCTCCCTGGCACTCTGGAGTGCCTAACAAGGACATTGAGAGGAGGGCCAGATAACAGAACCAAGCTCAGGCCATATAGGGACTGGCCAGGAGAGAAAAGGATCTTGTGTTCTAGTGGATTCCATCTCCCACACTCAACCAGTATCTGAGCTTTAGTGGGAGGGACCTGGTCCTGGGAGGCTAGGGATAGGATACCAGGATCCATCCCTCAACTTAACTGGACCCTCCATTAGAGAAGACAAGATGCTTCTTAGGGAAGCATCTCTGGTCAACAACAAGTACTCTTACCCAATCCACACTCAGGAGACCTGGTGAGCAAAATAGGAGCAGCATTGTCCTAGAGCAGGAGAGAAAGCAGATACTGACCAGGGAGTGAGAGGTGGTTGACTGGTGAGCTCCTATGCTGCCCCCAAAGCCCTGCTCTGCTTGCCTACCAACCTTGTGCTTGGCAGGAAAAGCCTAGAATCCTGAGGTCAATGAAAACTGAGGCTGTCTGCTCAGATCTGGCTGCCCTAAGCACAGCCTAGATCCCTGTTGTCCTAGGTGGGAGGACCTGAGCGACAAGATGTGGACTCCAAAGCTCAGGGCATAGGCCTGGCTCCACCCAGACCTCAAGTATACAGACACAGCAAGAGGAGAATGCATGGGGCTGAATATGGTGAGGGAGATACCCTTGATCACCCAGAGGGAGACCTTAGAAGGGCACCCACAGTGCTGGGAAAGTGGTTTTCGCTAAAGCAGGAGGGCTCTCAGAATTGGGGGCCCAGAACTTCACGGAGGGATGTTTCACCTCTGTTGGGGACCATACTGGGGATGCCAGCTGGGGGCTGAGGGAGAAGTGGGGGAATGTCCCAGGAGCACTGGCCCTGACCCTTCACCTCTATTCTGCCGGGCTGGGAGGCTGCTGCACGTCCAAAGGCAGGGGCCAGTGACCTCTTTCAGGGCACAGGTGTAACTCTTCTAAGGGGTCCAGACACTTCTGTGGCCAGTGAGTACCTTTATTTTACTCAGTGATTTAGCTAGTTTTGCTTGAGCCCAATTGAAGTTGGGATATTCCTCGGCCTGCTGCTCCCTGTTTCACTGTTTCTCTGGCACCAGCCAGTTAAGATGGCGTGTATGTGTATGGGGGGGGGTGTTGGGTGTAGGGGAGGGGAATTCAGCTAAACATGGCTGCTGAGATTCCAGGGACAGTGTGGGTGACTATGTGAGCCAGGGTGGTCTTGGGAGGGACCAGCCAGCTGCCTTCCTGCCTTTGAGAGGCTTGCTCTACACTGAGAAGGCAGGACTAGGAAGAGGTGGGGCTTGATGCTGAAGGGGTGTGGCTAGAAAGGGGGTGTGACTTGATTCTGAAAGATCAGGGAAGGGGTCTAGAACTAGAAGGCCAGGCAGGAGTGTAGGAGGAAGGAAGAGCCAGCCTCACCCATCTAGGGGATTTCTCCGGCTGCCTTAAGCATATGGCTGTGCCTTTGCCTAGGTGTCTCATCTCCATCAGCACTTTGTTGAGGATACTTTTACTGTCCTATGTCACAGGCAGAGTCAGGTAACTGGTGAAAGGACACAGCCTGGGTGGCAGTGGTCTCTTCTCTCTGCATGCTGGTTCAAAGATGGGAGAAGCTCAGGTTTGGGCAGGGCCAAGCCCAGTGCTCAAGAACCACAGCTGGGCCAGAAAGGGAGCAAGGGCAGTGGCAGAGGCAATCCCATGAAACAAGAGCCCTCCTGGTCCTCTAGCAAATGTTCCTAGCACCCACTGGACACCAGGGCCTTGATAAGGGGACAAAGGCAAAGCTCTGGGGACAAATACTCATGGGCATTGTCAGCCCAGCCACTAGAGAGCTGAGGCGAGGCCCACAAAGGGCCCGAAGAAAGGGCCTCGGGAGGGGCTGCAAATGGGCCTTCCCGCACATGCCACCGTTGCCCAGGCGACGGCCCTCTCATGGAGAGGTCTGCTGGGCCATTGTCCAGGGCCTGCAGGACGTGTCACACACCAGATGGTCGTGTGCTGTCTAGGTCACTTATAGGGGGACAGAGTGAAGGAATGTGGCCAGCCCGGCAGGCCGGGGCACCATCTGTTCCCTCAGACCATGGGCATCGGGTGGGCATTGAGCGTCCAGCCTGCCAGGCCCAGCCTTCTTCCCAGCTTTAATTAGGTAATTCCATAATTGGGCTTTATTTCAGGTAAATTGCATTTCACACCCGAGAGGGCTGCAATGGTCCTTGTGGGAGAACAGCACTTGGCCACTCTACACAGTCCATATAGTACAGCATTGAGGCCGGCAGGGTACAGCAACTATGTCCTGCCCAGATGGGCGGCCCTGAGCTCCTCATGGGCTGTATGTAGCCTGCTTGGGCAATGCTGAGGGCCCTGGCTATAGTCAACCAAAGCCTGGGGCTTCCACAAATATTTACCCAACAAGGAAACAACAGCTTCTGCCTTTCAGCAATTGTTGCTGCAGAACTCCCCTTGAAGGGGGTTGATGCCGGGAAGCCTGAGGCCTTAGTTGCCCTTCCACCCTTCCCTGCCAGGGATAGCCAGAGCTTGTCAGACCAGAAACCAAGATCTTGTGGTGGGAGCTTCTAGGACATTCAGACCCCTAAGAGGTTCAATGAAAGAGGAACTTGCGGGCTTTCCCTTCCTATAGGGGCCTCCAGCTACATCACCACACACGCACCCTTGATCCTTCTGGTGGCCACCTGCTGCCTTCAAAGATCCGGGCACCTCCATTCTCCAAATCTCAGATGCCTTCAGCCCTGATGGCCTGGCATATGAGGTAGGCTCTGGAAGGAGGACAGAACAGGGACAGAGTAGGTTCAGCAGAGACAATGGAGACTGGTTGGACAAGTCCCTGTTAACAGTGCACTGTTTCTGTTCTCAGTGGATGGATCACAAAGAGTGACCACTACAGGGCCAGGTGGGCAGGGTGGTACTCTCTTGGAAGAGGCCTCTAGCCTAGTAGACTAACTGGACAGCCAGAGGAACATCATAGTCCCATCAGGGAAACCGAGGCTTTGAGGGGAGCCCAGGAACTCTAGTGCTTCTTTGTACACTTGCATTTCAGGAATCAAACTCTTATGGTCTTGGGAGGTGGTCCTGGAAAGGGCCCACTCTTGAATGGCCCCTTGGGTCACCAGTAAGAGTCATCTTGGCTGGGAAGGACAGATGAGACCCTGGCACATGTCTGAGGGTGACTTCCTAGGCATATGCCAGTGTTGTCCAGCTAAGCCAGGTCTTAACCCAGGCTCAGCTACTCCCAGGGCTCAGAGTCTTCTGGGAATCAGGTGGTAACTACATCTTGATCACATTGAGTAGAGAGGGATACCTGGAGTGGAGGTCCAGGGCTACTCCCAATCCAGCCGTGTTCAACTTTTGACATGCCTCATTGTACCTTTGATCCCTTGGAGCCAGGGCCTTCTCTGCATGTTCACTCCATGACTACCTGGGCACCTGGGTCCTAGGGAACTGTAGGGTCCTGTCCACAAAGAGGTTGAGACTGTCCATGGGGAGCAGCAGGAGACAGGAAGGTGGGGTAGGGCAGAAAATGGAAGTTGAAATCTGTTATTCTAAAGACTGCCACTCCCCAGACACTCCCAGAAGCAAGCATGTGCCAAGATCAACCTGGGATGCCCCAAGTTTATTGGAAAAGCCTCTCAATCAAGATCACACTATAAAATTCATTAAAACAGAGATTCTGAATCACCAGAAATTATCCTGATTTCTGTGAGGTGCGATGTCCAAGGAACCAATCCTGAGAAATGGTGATGCTCCAAATCTTGCCGTGGCTCAGCTGCTGACTGAGGGATGTGGTGTGATGAGGCAGGAGCATGAACATCTGTCCAGCACCTCTGGTTAGCAAGGAGTAGGAGGCAGGTTGCACACATAGGGCCATGTAGGGCTTGAGGGCCCTGCTGGCCACTTTGAGGAAGGAGCTGTCAGTCCACACTGGCTAGGGTGGACAGTGGACATTCCCTTGCTTGGGACATCCTTTGAGGGAAGCTAGGAACCTCCAGGGTATCCTGCCCATGTGGTCAGCATCGCTAGAGAGTGAAAGACTCGGGCTCTGGCCTGCTGAGCCCCATTGGCCTGTGGCCTGTAGAGTGGGCTGGGCATGCCCTGCCTGCCTGCTCTCAGTTGGGCCCTGGATTCAAGGCTGAGGGTAGGAACCCCAGACTCTGTCAGATTTTCTTTCTTTCTCCCTTTAGAAAGCTACTTGACATCACCTGGACGGGCCTCCCTCTGCCCGAGTTGCATCTTAGCCCTACACAGATGCTCCCCATCACCATGTCCCAGCCATCAGGTGAGTAACTTCACCTTGAAGGAATGACAGTTATGGCCTGAGAGGAACTCCATGCCTGGCCAAGTTCATGTACCCACTGGCTGGGCCTTAGTGAGCTCCAGGTTCAGGCTGGTGGCTTGGACCATGGGTTTTGGGGCCTTGGGAAGCTAAACTGTCATATCAGGCCTTCAAAGGGGGTGAGGACCAGGTGAGTGCCCTTGTTGAGAGGGAGGTGGGGCAGACCTGTGGGGGTTACCCTGGACCTCCCTTCTTAGCTCCTTCAGGAGCCCTCCTCAGGGCCCACCCTGGGCACGGTCAGCTGTTCATAGGTGGGTAGGCTGTTGCTGGGCAGGAAGAGCTCAGGGTTGATGGAGCCACCTTCATCACTAGCCATCATTTGTCGCCTGCTGTTGCAGATTGGATCACCCTGGTGCAGGGACAGCAGCTGGTGGAGCATATCTGTGATGGTAACCAGCCTCTGGTCCAGTTGTGTCACCTGTGGAGACAGAAGCAGAGTTGAACATGGTGCTAAGGATAGGTTGTTGCAGGCCACCTTAGGGCCTGCCTGGGCATGATAGGGCCTGAAAGGCATAGCATGACACATGTCCTTATAGATGTGTGTTGAATTTGTGCATGCATGCCTGAGAGGCTCTTGTTCATCCTAATGTGCGTGTCTATGTGTGCTTATTGGGGTGCAGTACAGTAGTGCCCATACACACATATTAGTCCTTTCCTGTTTCTACACAGACCTAGTGGCTGGGAGATACCTCTTAGCCTCTTCCCGGGACTTTCAGTCTTTGAGACTCTGGACAAGCCTTCTGGAGCCTCTAATACAGCCTCTGGCTCTTTGAGGCCAAATGGAGAGGAGAGGAAGGCGCACAATGGATGGAAGTTCAGAGGCCAAGGGCTATGTCTGGCTCAGCTTGGAGGGGATTGGAGCCCTACACAAAGGGGCCTCGCTGGGAGGGGCTGGCACCTGGAGAGAGGGATTGGGACAACTGAAGGTTGAGCAGGCAGAGGCTGAGTGGGCCATGAAATAGTGCCAATCCCCAGAGGTATCTTAACAGGTACTAACTTAGGACAATACCACTTTTCTAGGACCCCATTGATCAGGGCAGTGACTGAGTGGACCTCTGGAGCAGGTTGTCCCTACCCCATGCCTGTAAAGGGCTTGTTTTGTTCCAAGCACTAGGCGGGTAGCTAAGAAACTAGAGGGGAGGTAGAGGCAGGGCAGAACCTGGGATAAATGGGTGCAGAGTAGGCACTTGACAAGGGCCACACTTGCTGTGCTTGTAGGAAACAATGGAGAGTCACTGGAGAACTCCTTAGAGAGAAGGAACCATTGTGTAAGGGCCTGGAGCCCAGCCCTGGGGGCCTGAAGTGGATAGCCACTTCCTTTCTTCTCTAGAAGGGAAGACCTGTCTAGGGAGGCCAGAGCTCCCACACAGATCCATAGTGGCAGGGGCTGCTCTAGGGTCAGTTGGAGGACTGGGTGGTGGTGGGGATACATGAACCTACCCAGCATAAGCAATAGAGCAGGGGTTGACTAAGGGGACCTCAGATACTAAGCACATGGGGTAAGCACATGGGGTGGTTCTCTCAGCGTGCTCTGTTAGTAAAGCAGGGACTCCCCCTCACCCCCACATGGAGACCTGGAATAAAGGGAATACCAGTGATGCAGGGATGAAGCCAGAGGTCTTGACAGATGGCCTCATATGGTCAGACCTGCAAAACTGCTTTAGGGAAAATCATGAGATGACTCAGACAACTGCTGACTGCTGGCCTCAAAACCTAGTTGACTTGGGCCCTGAGGACAAGAGGCAGTCATGGGGCCAGCCTCCATCTTCCTGAACAAGTGTGTACCATGGGTGAAGTCTGTGTCCTAGGCAGGCTCCTGATACTTTCAGTAGTGGCTCGTCTGTCCCACTACTTGTTTGTATTTTGAAAGGGCTAGATAGAAGTATCCAGGCTTGAGGGCTCACAGGGGAAAACTGATGCTTTGGGCTTAAGAGTGCCACGGGTGGAAGCTAAAGCCCACTTGTCACTGGCAGGTAAAGCTAGAGTTCCTGCCCTGACTGAGGCCTCCCCAAGCTCTGCACAGAAGGAGGGCTGCCTGAGGCTAGTCTTGGTCTGGCTTTATGAAGCTTTAAACACACAGCCAATTTGAGTAGGCAGGGGAAAGAGCACCAATTGGCTCATGGGAGATGGATCGTTTCATGAATGTTTATTAACCCACAGTTGAACACCTGTGGACACCTTACCTTTGCTAATGGACACCTCATCTTTGCTAAAGGACAGAGTCCTTACAGAGAGTTCTTGTGGTGGGAGGAGGGCTGTTTGAAACCTCGTGCAGGGCAGCTGCCACAGGGCCCCCCAACACTTTGTGTGCCACTCTAGGCTATCCCTGAAGTGTTCCTGGATAGTTCCCAAGCTCACAATGACCCTATGGTTGCTGCTTATGTCAACTGGAGTTTTGAGGAGTCTGTTTGGGTCCAAAGGTGTCCTATTGGCTAAGCTGCTAGAGACAGGACATAGGCTAGAGGTTCAGAATCTGGAGCCTTAGTGTGCTGCTGTCACCTTGTTTGAAGGAGGGTAGGACTGTGGAGACAGGAAATAGTGCAAGGGGTCTCTGAGCACATGGACTCCTCCAACTCTCTGATTGCTTTAGAGTTTGCCTGGATTCCATGGCCATGTGTGAGATCTTTATGGGTCCTCTTGGCCATCCACAGGATTCTCCTAGACTGTCCAGCTGCCCACAAATAGGGTCCTCTTGCTTGCCCTGGCCATCATGGTGATGAGCAGTAACTTGTAGCTGAGTTTTGTACCTTTCCTGGCCTTGATCAGACCACATCACCTCAGCCAGCTTGGCCTGGGATGGGGACACCAGGGTTTGGGTTCAGGGTACAGGACCATAGGATACATTCAGGCTGAGGATCCTTGTTGGTCAGCCCAGGATCCTTTGTAGGGTCAGAGGAGAATGGTCTTTGGGGAAATTCATAGGTTACTTTCAGAGGCCATATTAAAAATATTTACTCTCCAGTGAAGAGTCATCAGATGCCATCTGGCAATAGAGGAGTCTGTGGGAAGTTGACCAGTGTGGATGTCATATACTTAATTTGTGCTCTTGCCTGGATCATGGTGGTTGTGGTGCTTGCTAGCTAGTCTGTCTAGCACAGCTTGGAGATCAGGGGTTACCCTGTCAGGTAGGACTGCTTGGTGCAGAGACCTGGCCATACATGCTCCTTGTTGCCTCTGTTTCCCTAGCTGGGAAGTAAACCAAGCTGCTGCTCACTGAGTGTGCTGTTCAGAAGCCTGGGGAGCTTGCCTGCCAAGGCAATGCTTCTGCCTTGAGGGCAGGTGGTCTTAGCTTGCTCTTACTTCCTGGCCACTTAGGCTCCCAGAGCAGCCCATAGAGAGCCTCTATGTCCTTCATGCCCAAGCCCATGTCCAGTCCTGCTGGGCCATTGCAGGGAGTGTCCTGGCCTGGGTAGAGTGGCTCCTCAGCCCAGAACTCAGCTCCAAAGACAACACTTCAGCAACTGTTCCTGAAGCCACCTGGCTCTACTTTCCCGCTTTGGAGTTTTGAATGCATGGGCAGAAAGCTGGGGAGCACTTTGCCCACTGCTGAGTAGGTGAAGGCAGGGAGCCACGTCACAGCAGGCTTCAGGGAAGGTAGTGCCCGCTCTGGGATCTGGGATGGTGTTCTCCAAGAGCCACTGGGACAGATCAGTTTTGGGGATCTCAGATCTCACCACTATTTGCAATTTGATAGCGACTAACAGAGCGAGCCAGACAAAAGCCTTGTTGTGCCCTGTCTCTGCTCACCTAAGTAGAAGCCATAGATGACTTCTGTAGGCTCCAGAAGAGAAAAAAAAAATCATTTAGAATAACAGCTAGTTAGGGAGCCTGTGGGTGGCTGGTGATCAAACTCAAGGTGACAAGGATTCCTGTTTGATGTGGTTATGAATTTGTTTTCAAAGGAAAATCTTCAAGAGTCTTTTCAGAATTTTTTTTTCAGAACCTGCCCAGCCTTGATCCTTGGTCAGGACCCCCCAAACCTTGGCCTTGTGGATTGCCTCAGCCAGCTTAGCCTGGGGTGGGGACACCTGGGCTTGGGTTTAGGGTGTAAGGTCCTGGGATGCATTCAGGTTGGGCTCATTGTTGGTCAGTCCAGGGCTCTCTGTAGGGTCACAGGAGAATGGCCTTTGGTGCCTTGAGGGACATCCATAGGTCACCTTTAGAGGTCATATTAAAAATGTTTGATGCCCAGTGAAGAGCTATCAGATGCAAACCTGGCAATAGACAAGCCCATGGGGCGTCAGCCTGTGGGAGGTAGGTACAAGACAGAGTGCATAGGAGCCTAGAACCCAGATGAGCTGCTCCCTGGACTCCGTTGACCCTGGGCTCCCACTGATCTCCACTTCTGCATCTTATGGATCAGGCAACAAGGCCTGGGTAGAACACTGCCTGGCAGGCCCTGATGATTCTCAGCCTTACCCTAGGCTGCCTGCCCATCACTCCTCCTTCACTTCCCCTTTCCCCAGCACCCGGACACCACTATCAGAGAGACACCTCTTTAGTGCTGTCTAGGCTAAGTGTGGCCCCTACTTTGCACAGAAGGAAGTCTGCCTAGGGTACTACAGGAGAGGGAAGAACTAGGGCAGAAGTTGGAGGGGTAGCAAGCCAGCAATGATTGGTGGGCCTTTATTAAGCACTTACTGGGTACTGGGGCTCCAGTGGGTTTGTTTATACATGATGGTCCTTTCAAAACACAAGTGAGCTTAGTGTATCTCGGCATTACGATTCATCATTTCAAATACCCCAAGGGGCTGCAAAAGTCATCTCCCCCCTCCTACCTCTTTGCTGGCCTTCTGCTATGGAACTTTCCTCCTGCCTCCCAGAGTCTATTCAGCTGGAGACCAGGGTCCTTGGACAGTTCTGTTCTCCAGCCCAGCCAGTATCCCCTTTTCCTGGGACTGTTACAGTAGTGTCTACTGGTCTCCTGCTTCAGTGGATTTATACAGGATGGTCCTTTCAAAACACAAAACATCCCTCTGCTGCTGGCCTAGGAGCCACCTTATAACTCACTCCTATTTTCTATGTGGCCTTTTTTCTTTCTAATTCCCTTGACTCCAGACCTATGCTGCCCCTCAAACATGACAGTGTGTACCTGTCTCAGGGCTGTCCACTCTCAGTCCTTTCTTTCCTCTGCTGTGGTTCTGCCAGCCCACAGTCATGGTCTCCTTAGGGTGCCCGGCATCATCTGTTAGTCATCAGTTTCTCTCACTTGAATTGGGTCATGTCAGTTGTGGGTCTCTGTCCACACTTGCTGTAAATTCAGGGAAGGATGCAGCCAATGCTAGACACATGTGAGTACCTTTATTTACCCCAGAGTCCAAGCCCTAGGGGAATGAAGGACTTTTACCTTCTCTCAGAGCATTCAGGGAAGGGGTGCTGCCTTGCTGCCTATAGGCCACATCCTCACTCAGCACTCAT